TTCCTATTAAAGGATATTCTTTTTTTTACAGCAAAAGATGTTTTTATTCTTAATTAGTTAAATAAGTCAGAGAAAATCCATATAAACCAAATCTTTTCTCATATATTTCAAGAGATCAGGTTCTTTTCTTTAAGTTGTATTGGGATTTTTGAAATAATATCTAAACCAAAGATTACTCCCAGTAAATCTCATATTCTTTTCCTTGTTAATATAACCAACAAGGAAATCAAAGATTCTTAATCCCAAATTTTGAATGTTTCTAAATATAAAGTATAATTTCCCCATCACCAAACACAACTATAAAAGACAGCACATCAGAAATGTGAAGGGTAAGGGTACCCCTATGAATATAGGGCAAAGGGATTACTTTACTACAGTGCAAAGCAAAGCAAACCTTCAAATTGATCACATCGATCGATCCCAGGTGACACACAATAAAACATCTAATGAAGGCAGCCATGATGAGCTGGATCATCTTCTTGCCCATTTGTGAGTTCTTTCTCACTACTATTAATTAATTTCTTTTTCCCCATAAAATGTTTGTATTTACAGAAATGTCTTTAAAATGAAACTCTTGTAATTTTTGCAGATGCACCCTTATTCTCATCAGGAGCTGAATTAGCCAAGCTCGTCACAAGATGTAATAGTAACGACGACTGCAAGTCGTTTCCATGCACCTCAAGCTTTGCTCTTTGCGTTAACCACTTGTGCACATGCCAAGTCACAGAGGAGTCTGGCTCTGCCATGCAAAACCAATATGACCAATGTTCCTATACGAATGAATGTGCAGGAACCATATGTTTTAAGGGAACTATCTCATGTGTTGATGGGCAATGCAAATGCGTAGACAGGCATGTCCTGAAAAATCAAAAGAACCAATGTTCTAGTAGGAATGACTTCGCAGGAATTGGGTGTCCTTCGGGAACTATCGAATGTGTTGATGGGAAATGCAAATGCGTAAACTCGCGTGCCCTGCAAGATCAAAATAGCCAATGTTCCAGTAAGAATGACTGCACAGGAATTATATGTCATTCAGGAACTATCGAATGTGTTGGTGGGCAATGCAAATGCGTAACCGTGAGTGATCCGCCAGGTCAAAATAGGCAATGTTCCAGAAGGAAGGACTGCATAGGAATTAAATGTCCTTCGGGAACGATTGAATGTGTTTATGGACAATGCAAATGCATAAACTCGCATGCCCTACAAGATCAAAATAGCCAATGTTCCAGTAGGAACAACTGCATAGGAATTAAATGTCCTTCGGGAACGATTGAATGTGTTTATGGACAATGCAAATGCATAAACTCGCATGCCCTACAAGATCAAAATAGCCAATGTTCCAGTAGGAACAACTGCATAGGAATTAAGTGTCCTTCTGGAAATATCGAATGTGTTGATGGGCAATGCAAATGCGTAAACTCGCGTGGCCTGCAAGATCAAAATAGCCAATGTTCAAGTTAGTACGGTAGTTTGATAAGTGGCTGTAATCTTTCTGTAAGGAATAAAAGCCATCGTTCTTTCTTTCTTTCATGCCTTTATTTCAAGCAATGGTTGGCTCACTCTGTATATTAGAAGCTGACAAGATTTATACGAATTGAGTGGTGTACATTTGAGAATCAGCTTCCGGAAATAACAGAGAATTAAAAATCATCATAAAGGGGAAAAACAGAGCATCCTGTCAAATGCAATGCGCAATAACAGAGCAAGTGTGCCTGAATAACTCTTCTTATATGTTCAACAGCTTCTAGGCCAGAGGAAATGGAGGACTACCCCAAACATCTTTTTTTATACCTAAACAAACTTTAGATGAATGAGCTCTGGAAAGAAATGGTTCCTTTGGCTCAAGCATTCATGAGAACCTTTTAGCTGCTGCAGCCATCTGCATCAAGCAGCAATGCAAACTTAGGCAAAATAATTAGGGAACCGTTTGTAAAAACATATGGAAGAAAATAGTCTCAAGTTTCTAGCTGCGTAAGAGAATTGACTGTGCATTTTCATTTATGAAGATCAACTTAATAAAAAAGAAATGACAAAGGATTTAGCTAGCTTGGATATAATTGCTGTTGAAGTACTCAAATTCTGAAGTATGATGACTTACATTTAGAAGTGAGCTCGATCCGAATTCTGATCTGTAATTCAGCTCCAATGGTATTTGTGTGACATGACCCTCCTCTTTCATCCGGGCTTGGGACTGGCTGTGTAAAAGATCGGACTTGAGGCACAATACAGGCAGAGTTATCATGTCACAACGGCTATGACCAATTGTAAGGGTCAAAGTGGTTGCTTTCTATTGGATTAACGTGTATAAATTAAACTGGAGAGATTGTACCCAACCCTGTCACAGTCGAGTTACCATGACAGAAATATCAGAGGTGCCATTAAATTGTGTAAATAAGCCGCAAGCCTCCACAAAATCACCATTGTGGAGGTTTTGCAGCTTATAAAATCATCTAAATAATGCTGTAATGGAGGCTAGCATGGAAAATGCACAAGCTAGCCAATTGATCCATGTGAAGTACTTTCCTGAGAGGAACAGACTGGTCATCACAAAGAACCCCATTGCTGTTAAAAAGGATCCAATTATCTCAACAATCTTTGCAGCCCTTGGACTGGCATGCTGCAGAAATATCCCAGTAAAAGAAGCTGCAAAAGCAATAACAAGGATACGTTAGCGATCTTCAGGGGAAGCAGAGGAGGCTGCTCCTGAGCTTGCCCCGAAGACGATGAGTTTTGTGTAGCTAAGGTCAAAGCTGCCTGGAAACTAAGATTAAGTATTGTCTTCCCAAGACTCAATGGAGCCTGTGGTGCTGGGCTAGTTTGCATTTCCATATCAATTGAATTACGTAAACAGGTAGGTCATCTAATGCTCTGGACCTCCTCTGTAAAACTGTAAGACACCATACTCTTATGATGGAACACGTTACACAAGTTCGGTGAAACAGCTGGTATTAAACGTGATAAAGCCATACAAGCATGGCGGAAAGCCAGCTTGATTGCTGTGGGGAACGGAAATGGTGGATCATTTGAAGGCCTTGGATGTAAATTATATGGCATGACACAAAAATACATGCAAAGACTTGTTAAGTTCTTGGAGCTTCTCTCCATTTTCATTATATAAGAAGGTAAAGAGAATTCTAGAGAAATGGGTGATTCTTCTCGTAGACGTTTCCATATGTCCTTGTTCCAAGTAAGTTCACGGCTCCATTTTAGTATGAACCGAACAGATATTCTTTGCTTCGGTAGGGGTCAAAAAGCTCGAGACCTATTGACTCCGTTTTCTTTTTGGTCAATTTTCTTCCTTTCCATTTTCCCCATTTTCTGCCCCAACCCCTCAACTAGAGGTGTCAAACGGGACGGGCCGACCCAACACGGCATGAGCCTAACCCGTTTAAATGAGGCACAGCACGGTACGGCACGAGCACGAATAGTAATGGGTCGTGCTCGGTCGGATACGAAAACTTGGGCGGGGCCGGGATAAAAAATGAGGTCCAATGGACCGGGCCGGCCCATGGCTCGAGCCCTCTTCAAGCACGGCACGAGCCCAAGCCCGCTTTAAGCACGGCCCACTTAACTTTTTTTTTTTCTTTCTCAAATGTCAAAATGCAAAAATTTGACATCTAATATCATTGTTTATATGATTTTTTTTTAAATTTTTTATAATCATAAACATATATTTGATGTCTTTCATATTAGGGAAATTTCTTGGATCCTTAATTAATTAAACATATCAATTAAAAATTAATTTAACAACATTGGACTTGATATTTAATCAGTACATATGACATATACGCTTCTCTTATAATCAAAGCAAGACATTTCTTCACATATAAAATAATAAGTTGTTTAAAGATGAAAAGTTGAAGTGGACTTTGTGGAGTTGTACACTTTTTGCCCTCCACCTTTTATATTCTTTGGATGTTTGATTGATTAATGTTTTCAAATAATTCATCATTTCTTGTCTCTAATTATATTTTTAATATTTATAATTTGAATTATCAAGTGAAAAAAAATAAATCAAGTGAAAAAACTGCAAATTAAATAGGTTGGTTCTTGGGCCCGAGTATGGCACGAGCATGAGCACGGGCACGGCACGAGCACGGTCCGGCCCGTTTCAATGTGGATATGAGCTTTGGGCTTGCCTGGAATCAATGATTTCACTAAATGGGCTGGCCCGGCCCATTTCATTGTGGACATGGGCTTTGGGCCTCTACCCTCAACGCTGATACAATTCTTATTCTTTGCTCAAGTTATTCCAAAAGTGTAATGTTTTCTAATTGTTAAAAAAATAATGCACACTTGTACTAGAATAATATAGAAAGGTTTTGAATAATTTAAAAAAAATCTAGAAAATTTGAGAGAAAGTAGATAAGTTAAAATCACTAGAAATATCCATATATTATAACTAGAGAAATCTAGAATAAGGAGAAAAATTGTGGCTGAAAATGACTTTTGGAAAAGTCAATTGCATGAGCAACCGACTTTTGACTTAGCTACTCTATATATATATATATAGCTAGCAACCCAATTATGTATTCAAGTAAGAAAGCTGCAAACCACAGCTGTCTAACTCTCCCATCAGCCAACCCTTTGCATCCAACCAACTCTGGAGCCTTGTACCCTTCTTATTTCAATTAATAAAATAAAACTATTTTGTTACTCTTTTAAAAGTTTTTCTTTTTAAGTTAAGCTATTGTCCTAAATACCATCAATCATTTTCTGAATCTCCTCTCTTAAACTAACACTAATGAAATGGCTCTCTGACGAATAAAAGGCAAAATATGTTCGCTCTCCAAAGCAAACCAGGGAATAAAATTTCGTTTATAGAAAGCAATATAGACAAATTTCACTATACATAAAAATTTCTTTCAAAGTTAAATCAAGGCTGTGTGTCAGAAACCCTCCTCCTTTCTGTCCGGGCTTGGGACCGGCTGTGCAAAGTACAACAATGACACAGGCGGAGTTAAAATTTTTGGCTGGGCCAAATTTTTTTATTTTTTTTTGGGTTTTGGACTTTTTGGTTTTTTTGGGATTTTTTCTTTTGTGGTATCAAACGACGGCAGTTTACACTACTACACAATACTAAACTATCTAGTAGTTAAGACTTAAGGGTGAAGGCTAAGGTAAAGGCTAGCAAGGAAAAAGCACACGCTAGCCAGCAAATCCATATGAAGATATTTGAGAGGAAAATACTTGTCATTAGGAAAAACCCGAGCGCAGCAGAAACAGACCCAATTTTTTCAATGAGGCTTGCAGCCCTTGGATAGGCACGCGTTAGAAAAATGGCAGAGAAACAAGCTGCAAAAGCAATCACCATAGCCACTCCAACCATATGCAAGGGCAGCAAATGTGGCTGATCCTGATCCTGATCAGGTTGGCCTGGATTAGATGCAAGAGTCAAGCCAACAATGGCCTGGAATGTGAGACCGAGGACTGTCTTCCCCAAGCTAAGTGGAGCCTTTGATTGGTAACTTTGCACCTCAATTTGACAACCATGGAGATAAATTGGTAAGCAATCCCCTGCTTGATGACCAGACCAGCTCCACCAGCTTTCGAGCACCCTGTAACTCATTATTCTTGTGGAACGAGTCAGGGTTCTCACTGGTGGAGCCTCTGAACGAGGCCAGAAACAGGACAGTACATTATAGAATGCAAGCTTGATTGTTGTGACAAGGGAAAATAATGGCGGAGAGCTTGGAGAAGTCATGGAAATTAATAAGGGAACACCAGCATATTGCATAGACGTTTTAGTGTTCCCTTTCAAGTGGATGTAATGTTTTGTGTCTCTTTTCCTTTTATAATGAGGCAAAGAGAACACAAGAAACTTGGGGAGCCATTACTTTTCTCAGAAGTTTCAGAGTGAAGTGAAGAGAAACGGTGACTCAATTGATCCCACTAATTAACATGCTGCAGGTCATCATGGCGTGTGAACATTGAATCTTCCTTATCCTTTCCTTCACCTACTTTTCTCAACAGTATTCAGTAGGGTCACTCACCGACCAACTTTGTCTGGGCCCTTCACTTTTATTGCTTAGCTAAACTGCTAGCATTATGTTTGGATCCCATAAATAGTATAGGGTCTAAATATACATACAAGCATTGATAAACATTAAAATTACAACAATGCCATTATTATATTTTTGTTTTCTTTTTACAAATTATAATACAAGGATAATAGTGATATTTCACGTATTATTCAAATTATAAAAAAAAAATTATTACAACCGTTTGGATGTTTTTCTTCAATTTAAAGATTTTAGGATTTATAAATTCAAAGCAAGAAATAAGTTTTATTATAAATTTCTCGAGTTGTAATTACTTCCATATACATTTCACATCTAGATCTATTATCTTCAATTTGTTAAGTAGCATGATTATTTTGGCCAAACCTATACCCTGAGGCTTCCCATCCAAAAACTTTTACGAGTACTTAACCAATTTTCCATTCTGGAATCTTTCGGTGGTGTGTCTAAAACCTCATAAGCTAGATTGGTTGACCAACCTTTGCCCCCCCAAAAAAAAAAGGATTGATTGACCGACCCCATTTGCCTTTCTTTTTTTCTCCAGCAAAAGAAGGCCCCTTTACCTTTTTCTTATGATATAATTTCTCCTACATTTCCTTTCCCCAAGTTCACAGCAGCTTCCTAGCCATGCTTTTTCGGCTCATGAACATATCAACGTCAAACGAAACTTCTCAAGTTACTTTCTAATTTCCTGGAAGATGCTGCCTTATTTCCATGACATTGCTCATACCCAAGTACTATAAAAACATATGCATGCACAAGTAAGTGTCTTTCAAAATTACATGTCCTTGATCTTGCCCTGTCAACGACATGCGCAGAAGGATATGGCGGTGAACGCACTCCTCATCACTCCGCTGGTGGTATTATCAAGCCCACCACCGATCCAGTTCACTACAATACTAGAGTTCATCTTGTGTGTTTGTTTGGCAACGGCCACTCTTTTCATCCAAGTTCCCCATGAATACATAAACGAAGCAGCAATTCTGACTATACTATTTAAAGGCCTTCCATCCATCTTTTGTGCTTTCGGCTTCTCCATAATCTTAGCTTTCTCCGGTGCATTTACCGCGTTGATGATCATCCGCAACAAGCCCGCCATTGCAAGGATCTTTGGACTCTGTTCCATGGCTTCCATGTCTTCAGCTATGGCCATGCTGATGTGGGCCATTTACAATAAGCTGGCCGCAACCATTTAACATATTAAAGCTTGTTTCTTAGGATGCAGATTTACGACAAGGGAATTGTTTATGTATTTTAATACAAGGACAACAAGAAGACAGTATTGTTGTTTTGTATGATCTTTATAAACTTGGTATTTTGCCTGCCCATGAGTTTAATCCAATTACTAGACTAGACCTAGGTTCGGTTTTCCTTGACAAAAATAATACAGAAAAATGAAAAGTGAAAATAAAAAAACAGAGGAAGTTTTTGTTCTAAAAGAAAATCTTTTCCCCATATGTTTGTCTTTGAAGAAGTTTTATCTGGCAGAGATATCGAAAATTATAAGCATTCATGATCGATTAAACCAAGAATTACTCCCAGCAAATCTCATATGTTTTCCTTGTTAACGATACCAAACAAGGAAATTAGAGATTATGATTCCCAAATCCTGAATCGTTAGTAAGTATGAAGTTTAATTTCCTCATCACCAAACACACTGTAAAAGAAAGCACCGCAGAATTTGGAAATTAATAACTAAAGCTCCCTAATTTTGGTATCTACAGAAATGAAACTCTTGTAATTTTTGCAGGTGCACCATTATTATCAAGGGTACCAGCAGGAGCCGAAGCAGCCAACCCCGTCAAAAGATGTAAGAGTAACGATGACTGCAAGTTGTTTCCATGCACCTCAAGCTACGCTCTTTGCATTAACCACTTGTGCACATGCCAAGTCGCAGATATTAATATCAACGACTATGCTGCGCCCTGCAGGAGCAGCACTGACTACAGAGACACTGCATAAGACTGTCCATGGGGCAAGGCTGCATGTCATAACGGGAAATGCATATGCATACACATGAACCCAGCAACATCATCAGACAAGTTCGGCTTTTGCCTTCAAAATCAAAACGACCAATGTTCCAACAGGAACGACTGCGCAGGAATCAGATGTCCTTCGGGAACTATCGAACGTGTTGACGGGAAATGTAAATGTTGATGAAGCCATGCAATTGTCTTAGCTACATTTGTTACAAGTACTTTGTTCCATGTACTAGCTAAGAAATAATAGACGAGTAAATGTTTTTTCTTTTTTTTGAGGAAAAAAAGATAGTATTTATTGATGAAACAGAACAAGTACAAAGCCACAAAAGTGCCAAAATGGGTACAATATCTCCAGTGACCAAACACAACAATATGTTGATTTGATATGTAAAGAATTACACCTAAACCAACAAATACTAAAACCCTTGATTTAGTAGCCCAGTGTGTATGTACTTAGACTAACAATACAAATTCACGGCACAACGACAGAAATGGCAGATTGATGAGAGTCTCAAATTACATCTTTTTACTATTATTTTGGAGACTTTATGATATAATTTTGGCTTAATGAATATAATTTCACTTGTTGTTACAATTTATTCTTACCAACTGGATTTATGAATTTTCTATATTAATTTGGTGAACTTATTAGGTGAATTTATCTTCTGTAGGAAGTTGGAAAGCCAAAAGATGAAGACATACATTTGTCCAAGTTCAAGCTAGGTGTGAAGAGAATTGCTGGCGGATTTAATTGAAGAATTGATTGTGAGATTATTGTGATTATAAAGAGAAGTAAAGAGGGAGAAGAGAAGACAAAACCATTGAAGCTAAAGAGCCTATTTCATGTCATTCATAGCCATTTAACGCCCACTTACCTCACTGTTATTTCTTTTCCACTAACTCTCCACCATCAACACATGTTTAATCCAATTAATCCCTCAATTAAACCCTTTATCACCCACCACGAATGTATTAACTTCCCACTCACCTCATTGACTACTATAAATCACCCATCAACTTATTTGGCAAGGGCACCCCTACGACAGATTTCTTTATCCATTATAGTTTATGTTTTCCTTTGTAATGAGTTGCTAGAACTCTAGCTAAAGCTAAAGGGAATGTTCTTTGAGTAAATTTGTGAATTGTTCTTTAATCCAATATACGGTATGAATTGCTAAATTCTTTTATTTTTGATTGTTCAAATTTTCATATCCTTTTATTTTGATTGATGTTAAGTGCTATTATCTTTTCATGATTTCAATTATATTTTTCTCATTGTTAAGAACTGACTTGGCATACTTTTAAATTAAAAGAGTAGATATTAAGCAACTCCATTTTATGAACAATCATTAACAAAAGATTACTTTGAAAAATTAAATTGGTTTTAATTACTTTATCTGCCGGTTAAAGTTTCTCAATGATGATTTTAATCGAATTATAATTTGGATTAAAGAGCATGAAACATATTTTGTTCAAAGAATTGAACTTTGATGCCTTAGCATTTCCATTATTGATATTTCATTTTTAACTCAATTTTCCACAACAATCAAATCAAATTACTTTTCCATTTTGCTTGTCACTTTTATTGTGGTACGTTTAATTATTTCTTTGTGTACAAATATTTGCCTACCTGCCCTTTGAGGATACGATACTTGGACTTCCAAGATTATTACTACGTGTGACTACTTGCACTTGGGTAGACGCAACTCAAATCTATATCGCAGCCAAAAATTAAAATACAAAACACAACAAACTCTTATAGAGTTACTGGAATTAAAATAAAATAAAGCAAACTCCTAAAGAGTGATAATAGACTAAAACAAAAAATAAAAATAAAAATAGGACCACTGCTCCACATCGTCTTCGGCAACGGAAGAGACCCATAATGCCATACCGGCTAAACCCTTAGTGCAGCACTGGCTAAACCCCAGCCCACACAAACCGGCAACTTCCATGATTGTAACTCCAAACTCTGAACTAGAGCCAAAACCCTATGTATGTAGACCAATAGCGACAACTAAATCATGGCAACAATGGTGTTTCCCGGTGGCTACTTCAACATCGGCTACAAACCAATATAGCAAACTTGCCGCCCCACCGACATGGGTGCCGCCGCCTCTGCCTACAATCGAAAACAGAAAAACAAAAAACAGAACAAAACCAAGATCCATGTGGATCTAGGCAACAAAAAGCCTTATTACAAACCAAAACTCCAATCCCTAGCATATGAGGAAACGGAGAAGGAAAAGGAAAAGGAAGAGGGGTTGAGAGGGAAGAGAGAGGAGGAAGAGATGAGGGAAAAATAACGGAGATGGGGGGTAGGGGAGGAGGGGCAGAGACCACGTTCCCCCTTGGTGCGATTGAAGGGTGTGGGGGGCTACATTTTTTTCCACTAAGAGAGCTAATTCAAAGCAAGTGGATATTTTAGAGAAAATGTTTTAATAAAGGGAGTTGATGTTCCCACTCATTTTTTATTCACTTACATTCCCTTCAATAATGTTTAGAATTAGAAGTCCAGGGGTCAAACGTTTATTTTGTGTTGGCTATTAAACCTGATTGGCTAGAAGACTCCAGGGCAATAAGTTGACGATATGATTATTGAATAAAATTGAGATTTTCTCTACAAGTGTTTTTCTCTACAATTGAGAACCACACTCCTTGTTTTGGGTATTCTTAGAATCAACAAAGCTTGGAAACCTATCCTTTCTCTTTGTTCTGGCTGGGTATTCTTAGAATCAACA